GGATTTCTTGGACATTTTTAAAAACCACTACAGCCACTAATGTGGTAAAGGTTTAGACTTAGGGTTGGGACATTGGATACTGACCCAGCTAAGAATGAGTGGACATTTTGCTGTTTTTCCTTGGGTATGTAGTTTAAGGAGGGATAATTAGCAGAACAAAATCCATGAATTCCTGGGCCCTCCAGTCAAAGGCCACCTACTAAATCAAAACTTCAGTTAGAATACTAGTACGAATGACTAACTCTGCCTGGGTGAGGGGGAGAGAGAGAAAACCAGGAGGGCTTTGCGTGGAAGTAACACTGTATGAAAGAGGAATAGAAGTTCTTTTTTTTTTTTTTTTTTGGTGACGGAGTCTTTCTCTGTTGCCCAGGCTGGAGTGCAGTGGTGCAATCTCTGCTCACTGCAACCTCCGCCTCCCAGGCTCAAGCAATTTCCCTGTCTCAGCCTCCCAAGTAGCTGGGACTACAGTTGTGTGCCACCATGCCTGGCTAGTTTTTTGTATGTTAGTAGAGATGGGGTTTCACCATCTTGGCCAGGCTGGTCTTGAACTCCCGACCTTGTGGTCCACCCGCCTTGGCCTCCCAAAGTGCTGGGATTCCAGGCGTGAGCCACCGCACCCAGCTACAATGGAAGTTCTTGAGGAAGACAATTCATGAGGAAAGTGTGGCAAAGTATAAAAACACAAGCTTTGAAGTAAAAAATGACATAGGTTCAAATTCTGGCTCCGTTACTAGCTGTATGAACTTTTGCAAGTCACTTCTCCTCTTTGGGGCTATTTCCTTACCTGTAAATTAGGAATTACAAAACCACTTATGCCACAGGGTTACTGTAAAGATTGGTGGCGATTATTCATGTGAGGTGCTTGGCAGGTTGTGGGTATTCAACACACAGTAAGCAAAAATCCTCGTTTGTGGGCACCATGTTCAGAAGTCTGGCACCAAAAAGGTCTGATGTGTGGGGAGCGTGGACGGCAATTCTGTAGGCTCAGTCATGTTCATGGAGCTCAAGTTCTTTCCTATCTCCTGCCTCAGCCCAGCCAAGTTCACTGCACTCATTGACTTGACCAGCCGATAATGATTAACTTATACATCAAGGAACCTGGGTTCCCACCAGGCTCAGCCTGGAGGCACGGCTGAGGGAGCAGGTGAGGAGGGGGAAGTTTGGTCTCCCTTCTCTGCCGTTCCCAGGTCAGTTCCGTGGGCAACTGACATTCATCCGAATGAATCTCAGAACCACAGAGATGGGTCTTGTCTGAGTACCCTCCTGTCAGCCCCATCGCTGCCCTGTTGGCCTCCTCTGCTGCTCCTGGTGACAGCCGCATTCTGCAGGCAGGTGTTAGGGTGGGAGAGATCAATGCATCACACGTGGTGGGCAGGGCGGGTGGTTGGAGGGTGAGTTAGGCAGTTGGAGGAGAAATTGCCTGGGTTTGCTGGGCAGGTTCTGTGCTGACTCTATCAGCCTCCCTCCCTGGCGTATGTGTGCAGCGTAACTCCACGGCCCGGCTGCAGGTTGTGGGGAGTTGGGTTTTTCCTCTGCAGTTCATCTGGGTCTTGGAGGGACAAAGTGGGAAGAGCTGGGAGCTGTGTTCCTTGGGCTTCATGCTACTCATGCCATGTTTTTTGGGGGGATGGGGCGTATTTCATCATTATACTCTTTGAACCCTCCAGAGGAATCCATTGTATGTGGTGTCTTCCTGTGAGACAGAGCAGGGAGCTCATTGGAAAGGAGAGCTAAAGAGCCCAGTGAAGATCCCAGCTCCCCTTGGGTGACCTTAGGCACATATTTTACCTCCCTCAGCCTTAGTTTCCTTATTGGTTGAAGGGGTGCCAGAGCTGTGTAGGTTCAGATGAGCTAATGGCTGTGGATGCGCTTCAGCTGCTGTGGGGATGGGCGAGAGCTGGGGGCCCTCTATACTCATTGGTCTCCTGGAAGGGTTGGAATCCTCTTTGATGGGAAGGGCCTTTTCTTATCAAGGGTAGGGTCTGCAGAGTCTTTGGTGCCAACCCCTTGTTCACGCAAACCCTGTGAACACAAGTCCCAGGTAGGCGTGTTCTTAGAGTAGGGGCTGCATTTAGAAGCCTTGAAGGCAGATGTTCTCAGAGAGGAGGACCTGGGCCAGCAGCAGCCACTGGGAGCCCTTCAGAAATGCAGAGTCTCAGGCTGCATCCCAGACCTGGTGAATCAAACTCAGGCATTAGGGCCAGCCCTCCGCTCCAGGTGATACTGATGCTGAAATTTGAGAAGTGCTATGCCTTCCACATGGTTCCCCCTCCTTCCCAGCTGGGGGGTCCTCTGAGGGAGGGGGCTGCAAGGCCCCCGGCTGCAAGGCCTACACTGAATCTCCCGGCTGCAGAGAACCCTGGGCAGGATGGGGACCTCTTCCCTCTGACTGACTTAAGACATCCCCGAACCTCGCCAGCAGGGTTGATGCCAGGATATTTGCATAGCTCATTAGCTCTACTCCATGCTTCCTCTTAATGAGTTTTGCAAAAAAAAAAAAAAAAATCATTTAAAAAACCCAAACTAATCACAGACCAAACACAGGTCCTTGCTAAGTTTGTGGTTGTGTGTGCCATGAGGGCAACTGTGTTGTGGGAGCGCAGGTGAATGCGAGGGGCTGTACTGTGCCTGTGTGTGAGTGTTGTGTTGTGTCTGTGCTCACACAGCCTCTTCATCTCCAGGGGCTCCTCTCGAGGCCGGTTACTCCTCCCTGTCTCACAAGTCACTATTTCTAATGGAGCCAACTTGCAGGGAAACATCAGCCTTCCTCTGCCTGGCATTTTGCTTGTCTGGTGCCCATTGCTCAGCCCCAGCTTGCCTAGTGTCCCCAGCTCTGGATCTTGTGGCAAGGACAGTACCCCAGCCAGCCGAGAAGCCAGGGGATAGCAGTGCCCCCACTACCCGGCCATCCTTTGGGTCCAGTCTGAGGATTTAAAGAACCTGTCAGTTGTCGCCTTACCTGTGTGCCACCTCCTCATGCTGGGAGCCTCCACCCCTCCTTGTTCCACCTGGGGCCCCTCTGCTCCACTGACTGGGCTGCAGATCCTCAGGCTGTGCCCCCACCCCTACCCCCATCCTCACTCCTACCTCCACCCTTGGGAGAATCAGCCAGCAGTAAGTCTGCCCGTGGGATTAGGGAGAAGTAGGGTTTTGCGGTGAAGGGGTTGGGGTGTCTATAGATGCTTAGGCATAGAATCTGGGAGGACTCCCCTATCACCCACTCCCCTCTCCCCTACTGCAGTCTCTGCTGGGAACAACCCTATTTGTAGCCCAGTAAATTTATGGCATAATCCCGCATGGAAATGCATGGAAATGCTGCCAATTACCATCAAGCCAAGAGAGGAGGCTGCATCCCCTGGCATGCCCTCCCCAGTTGGCTGTCTGCAGGCTCCCAGCCTTCCAGAAACCACAGGGACTAAGGAGCTCACTGGGACGGCCTAGATTGGTGGAGTGGGACCATTTGAGTAAAACTCTTTATTCATCTCACCTGGCCTTGAAGATTTGCGGCAGGAACGGCTCCTTTGCATTAAACCTGAGCAAACCAGGGAAATGTCATTCCCTGAGTCTCAGCAAAGCCGACAGCTGATGCAATTTATCTAGCTGAGATCAGTTCATCAAATTTGGGAAGAGCTGAGCCGCTGGAAAGACGGGGGAAATCTGATACAACTGCGTCTGCTTAAAATGCAAAGGCTCATGGAGATTTTGGAACACTGTAAGGGAGTCTCAGTAAAGCTGCGAGGAACGTTTAGCGGGCACTGAGATGGAGGTGGGGGGAGTGCTGAGGGCGGGGGAATTTCCTGCTCCATTGGGGAGGGCAGAGGACGTGTGCACCTGCAGTCTCTGCAGTGTGCTGACCTCTGTTGGCCTAGGTCAGATCCAGTCCAACAAAGAAGGAATGACGCCTGTGATGTGAAGATTCAAACTGGCCTCTGGGGCTATATGGGTGATGTGAAACATGGTCCCGTTCTTGAACAACTCATGTCTAATGGGGGAGGCAGACAGACATGACAGCCTGTAACATAATGAAGTCTAGGTCCAGCGTTTATAACAGAGGCTAAAGGTGCTGATAAGAGACCAAGGGCAGGAGAAGGTCGTGGTGAGGCACTCAGACGGGCCTGGCTCAAAGCCTGGTCTTTTCACCTGTGTACCAGCTGTGTGTCCTTGCCTGAGTCACTTAACCTGTCTGAGCTTCAGTTTCTCATCTGTGGAATGGGTGTAACACTTCCTGCTTCTTAGGGAGTTGGAAGGGTGGATGAGATACTGTTATATAACATGGTTAGCATCAGGCTTGGCGCACAGCAAATGCTCAGCAGTGGAGCTAGCATCCCATTGGAGGATGTGGGAAGGCCTCTGGGAGGAGGTGGGGATGCCAGCTAGGCCATGAAGGAGGCGAAGGACTTTAGTGCGTGGAGAGGGTAAGGGAATGCTCATAATTATAAAAAGAGGCATAGGAGCTGGCTGGCTGCTTGTCACTGTCCCCACCACAGTCCTGGTAGAGGAAAAGGGGGAGGCTCTGAGGACTGGGGTGATGGGGGCGCTATGTTAGTAGAGCAGGGCCTCTCCGCTCCCCATCAGCCCCATAATTGCCTGGCCCTGGGAAGAGGGTGTTGTGCCCCTCCCCGCATAAGCCCTCCCCTCGCTCCATCTTGCTCCCCTCCCCCAGTCTTGCTCCCCTCCCCATGAGGATTTATCAGTCCTACTGCGTTGACGGGCTTAGCGGGGACCAATTTCCTGCTATCAGTCAGAAGGGGTGGCATTTGTAGGGCAGTGCCGAGGCCTGGGAGGGGAAGGAGGGACCCACCGTGCCTTTCCTCTGTGGCTGCGTGTTCTGGGCTGCCCACTGTCCTTCAGATCTGTCTGCTCTTCCCTCTGGTTGGGGCTCTGCAGCCAGGAGGATGAGGAGAGATGAGTGGCTGAGGGGAGGCGGGGCTGGGCTAAATGGAGGGGTTGAGCCGGGAGCAGGGGTGGCAGGGCAGTGGGGCCATCATTCAGAAGGGCACTGAGCTTTGTGTGAGCAGGTGCTCCTGAAACGGGTCCTTAATATTCTGGATTCCTTCAACTCTGTGGCTCTGCGTCATTCACAGCAGGAACATGGGGGCTTGTGACAGACTCCAGACCAAATGGGAAACTGAGGCAGCAGCTCGGGTCCAGGAGCAGGTAAGCAGAGGCTGTGACTCAGGCCTCCTGGGATCATGGATCTCAGGGGTCCAGGCTGCGGCAGTCCAGCCCTGTCTGCCTTAACAAGGACATTATTGATGTAGAGGTCTGGGTTGGCCTCAGGATTGCAGCTGGCCATTGCCAACAGCCTCCTACAGGAAGCTGGCCTGGGTGCAACCAGGCCACAAGGCCTCCCTTTGGGCTAGGGCCTGCAGGGCCTCCACGAGTCCCTCTCTTCTTAACTAGACACGGAGCTACAGTCTGTGGAGCACTCGTTATGCGTCAGGCCCTGGGCCAGCACTTACGCTTCAGCCTTGACAGAGGTAGTCAGCGTTGCCGCAGGGAACACAGCGGCTTGTCAGGGGTTTTGTTTGTTTGTTTTTGTTTTCTGAGACAGAGTCTCGCTATGTCGCCCAGGCTGGAGTGCAGGGGGGTGATCTCAGCTCACTGCAACCTCTCCCTCCCAGGTTCAAACGATTCTCCTGCCTCGGCCTCCCGAGTAGCTGGGACTACACCCATGCGCCACCATGCCCGGCTAATTTTTGTATTTTTAGTAGGATTAAAATATTAACACACTTAATTCTCCATCAACCTGGAAAGATACACGTGATTAAAATTACCCCAGCTTTTAGGGTAGGTAGGTGACCGCTCAAGGTCTTTCAAATGTCATCTTCTCAGAGACTCCTTCCCTGACTGCCTATTTCTCTTAAGCCCTCTTCCAGTCCACCCCCTCCTTCCCCATCTCACCATTTTCTGTTTTCTCCTTGTTTATCTTCTGCCTCCCCTGCTAAAGTGTAAGCTTCATGAGGACAGCGATCTTGTCTGTCCTGTACCCTTGTGTGTCTCTGACGACAAATATTTGTTGAATGAATGAATGCCACGTAGCTAATATGGACAGAGCAAGGATTCCAACTGGGTTGTTTGGTTCAAAAAATATGACCTAGGCTGAGGCAGCTGGATCACCTGAGGTCAGGAGTTCGAGACCAGCCTGGCCATCATGGTGAAACCCCATCTCTACTAAAAGTACAAAAATTAGGCAGGCATGGTGGCGTGTGAGTGTAGTCCCAGCTACTCAGGAGGCCGAGGCAGGAGAATCGCTTGAACCCGGGAGGCTGAGGTTGCAGTGAGCCGAGATTGTGCCACTGCACTCCAGCCTGGGTGACAGAGAGAGACTGTCTCAAAAAAACAAAAACAAACAAAAAGCCCTATGACCTACTTGTGGCCCGTGCAGCAACGCTGACTGTCTCTGTGAAGGCTAAAGCCGTGTCCAGAGGAGGGGTCATCCCATGTAGAGGAAGCCTCAGGTCTGGGGTCCTAGTGAATCTGTCTCAGCCTGATTGCAGCTATGGAAAGAACAGCATTAAATCTGAGCTGCTAACAGTCCCACCCCAGCCCTCTTGTGGTCTGTGGATAGAGACAGAGAATAGTTTTGAGCAGCTGGGGTGGAGGTAGGGGGCTGGGAGAGGAATGATGACTTGCTTTGCATTCAGGTGGGCTCCTTACCTGATCCAGCCCTGCTCTGGATTTGCTATCTAGACTCAGCACAGCTGGGGTGGCTGGGGGCTCTGCACAGCTGGTGCCACTCCTTGAGCTCAGACGTTTATTAGGATTGGGGGTGGAGGGAGGGATTCTATTTGTCTGAGAATGATGGGGACGGGGGGAAGGGCTTTCCGGAGATGAGTGGCAGGAGAGATAAGCCTGATGTGTGACTTTCTGACGCTTGGTTGGTTTGAAAATGAGTCCTGGGCCCAGAAATGGGATTGACAGGGGAATCAGAGAGGGCTGGGAGTCAGGAGGCCGGGTCCCAGTGCCAGGGGAGGCGGTGGCTGGGCCCTGGGTCACCTTGGCTGGTCTGCTGGGGAAGGATGGGTTGCCAGGCTGACGTGTTTTGGAATCAGCCTCAGTGTCTCTGAGTGTTGCTTTGCTCCTGTTCTCAAAAGAAGCCTGAGTGCCTGGAGCTCACAGACCATGGGCCAGAAATTGCACCGGAGAGGGGTGGCCAGGCCTGCACATCCCCCTTGTGCCTCTCCATAAAAACAAAAAGTGCTCCCATGGGTATTCTCAAACTGGCAATCGGCATAGAGATTATGAAAACAGGTATGTTGCCCAGATTGCCAAAGGCTGCTTTCCTGCCTAGGCAGGTTGGCCCAACCTCAGGGCAAAGGGAGAGCCTCACTAACAGGGGTTAGGAGACGGAGGTGGCAGGTCCTTGGCCTTTCCCTTCTCTCTTTTCAGGATCTGTTTTCTCATCTACAAAATGGGGGTAATTAAGTGTGGTGACCACTAGGTGCCTGTGTATGCATGATCCTATTTGTCTTCCTGGAAGTCCTGTGAGATGGTTTCTCTTCACATCCCTAGCTGATGGGCAGGAAATTGAGGCTCAGAGAGGTGAATTGCCTGGCTCAAGTTCACACGGTCTGAAAGTGGTAGACTGGAATTCAAACCCACGTCTCTCTGTGCCCTACATCCCTTGGCCTTCTCTGCTCATCTTTTTGAGGCATTTGAGACAGAGGGAGGGGTCACTCCTCATTCTTTCTGATGGCTACCTATATCTCATTGGCTGCATACCCCACTATTTAAGCAATCACTTATGGATGGACATTAAGGATTTTCCCATTCAAACAATTCTTTCAGGTAATGATACTAGGAATAATTTTGCACACTCACCAATTCACACATGTTCATGCATATCTTTTTGTGTAATTCCTAGAAGTGTAATTGCTATGGCAAAGGGTATATGCATTTGTACTTTTGATAGACATTACCAAATTGCCTATCTTTCCATAGAGATTGCACAGGCAGCATTGTGAGATGCCAGCTTCCGCTCATCTTCACCAACACAGTATGTTGGCAAGCTTTTTGATCTTTGCCAGTCTGGTTGGTAAAAGGTGTACAAGGTGATTTTATTTCACGTTTTTCCTAGGGGTGAGGTTGAGTATCTTTTCAAATGTTCAAGACCTATCTATTTCCTTTGCTGAGAAGTATTTTCATATCCTTTGTTCATTTTTCTTTTGTGTTACTGGTCTTTTTCTCAATAGAATTGTAAGACTTTCTTACCCGAGTGGGAAATGAACCCTTTGCCTGTGATAAGCACCAGATATTTCTTTTGGTTTGCGGTTTGTCGTTTGACTTTGCTAATGGTGATTTCTGCCATGAGGAAATTTTCTATTTTTATATCTCTAACCTTAGCGGTGCTTTTCTTTTTTGGCTTCTGGGTGTCTTATCAAGGCCTTCTCACATGAAGATTATTTTTAAAAGCTTCCCCATGGTTTCTTCTAGGCTCCTTATTACTTCATTTAAACATACTTAAGTCCTTGAATTTTAACAAATTCATCTGGCATTTATTTTGGTATAAGGGGTGAGGAATGGACCTAATTTTAATTTTTTTCTCAATGGCTGCCCTGTTGTCCTAACGACATGATTGAATAGGTCATCTTCTCCTCCATGACCCCCCCCACAGCTGTATTGAGGTATAATTGACAAAGAAAAATTGTATTTATGGTGTATAACTTGTTTTGATATGTTTCAAAATGACTAAATCAAGCTGATAAACATATCCATCACCTCACTGGTTTTTTTTTTTTTTTTTTTTTGTGGTGAGAATTCTTAAGCTCCTAGTCTCTGAGCAATTTTTAAGTAAACAGTAGTACACAATACATTATTAAATATGTAGTTACCACGCTATACAATCTATCTCCAGAACTTATCCTATCTCACTGAAACTTTGTACTCTTTAATCAACATCTCTCCGTTCCTCCCTCTCCCTACCCAGACCCTGGCCACCAGCATTCCACAATCTGCTTCTATGAGTTAAACTTTTTTAGATTTCACATCTAGATGAGGTCATGCAGTATTGGTCTTTTGTGTTTGACTCATTTCACTTTAGCAGAATGTCCTTCAGGTATAACCACATTGCCAAAAATGTCAAGCTCCCCTTCTTTTTTTATGGCTGACTAGTATTCTATTGCATACACTTACCACATTTTCTTATTTTTTTATTTACATTTTGAGATGGAGTTTCACTCTGTTGCCCAGGCTGGAGTGCAGTGGCATGATCTCAGCTTACTGCAACCTCCGCCTGCTGGGTTCAAGTGAGTCTCCTGTCTGTTTCCCGAGGAGCTGGAATTACAGGTGTGCACCACCACACCTGGCTTATTTTTTGTATTTTTAGTTGAGAAGGGGATTCCTCATGTTGGCCAGGCTGGTCTCAAACTCCTGACCTTAAATGATCTGCCCGTCTTGACCTCTCAAAGTGCTGGGATTATAGGCATGAGCCACCACACCTGGCCCAGATACCACATTTTCTTTATTCATTTGTCTGTCGATGAACACTTAGGTGGATTCTATATCTTGGCTGTTGTAATGATGCTGTAATGAACATGTTGCTTCAAGATTCTGAGTTCAATTCCTTTGGAATTGATCCAAATTTCTTTGAAATTGCTGGATCCTATGTAATTCTATTTTTAACTTTTTGAGGAACCTCCATACTGTTTTCCATAATGAATGGCTATGCCGATTTACATTCTCACCAGTAGTGTACAGGGGTTACCTTTGCTCCACATCCTTGCCAACACTTGTTATTTTTGTCTTTTTGATAACAGTCATCCTAACAGATGTAAAGTGATATCTCATGGTTTTAATTTGCATTTCCCTGATGATTAGTGATGTTGAGAATTTTTTCATATCCCCATTGACCATTTGTATATCTTCTTTTGATCCTGAATGATTTTGAATGCTCACATTTTAAAATGTTTTGCTCCATTGACATGTTTGTCTACTCACAACTTACTACCATACTATTCAAATTAGTGCAGATCTATAATACATTTAAGTATCTGGGCTGGGTGCAGTGGCTCACACTTGTAATCCCAGCACTTTGGGAGGCTGAGGCAGGCAAATCATGAGGTCAGGAGGTTGAGACCATTCTGGCCAGCATGGTGAAACCCTGTCTGTACTAAAATGCAGAAAGTTAGCTGGGCATGGTGGCACGTGCCTGTAGT